GACGGCCGCGGCCCCTCCGAGGGGGCAGCTGTTGGCGGGAACCCGCTTTCCCGGGGGGGGGAGGGGGTGTTTCCTCAGAGGTATTACCTGTTTGCGGTCTTAAGGCTGGATTAAACACCTTTTAAAGGCTCTTTAGCCTAAACACAGGTTGATAGTAAACCATGTTTATCATCGTGCTCGCTTCCCGCCACGGGCGTTTTTCTGAGCGCAAATGGGTCAGTGAAAAAACTAGCTTGGATTTTTTTATTCCCCCCAGCTTGTCCTATGAAGAAATATAAACGTTGATCTTTCTGTAGTGTGCCTGGCACATAGTAGAAATTGTGGTGATGAATCTGTTTGTTGAGGGTATACTCTTCTTGAGACTTTCTTTCAAGCAAAACTCTTCTCTGTAACGTTTTCTGTTGTTTTTGGAGGAAAAAGAAAGCATTGTCTGTCTCCTGTGAAGCTGGACAAAAGTTTGTCAGTTCTTTATTTCATTTGCACACGATTGTATTTTACGTTTGCATTTGTATTGTGTAAGAGAAAATATGTAAGTGAAGTACTACTCCTTTTTTTTTTTTTTTTTGCTGTAGGTTGGGTATTGTTGGGTTTTTCTCATTTCCATTTTGGTAAAAATGATGCCAGTGCCTGATTCTGGGCACTGACATACAGGAGTGGCATGTTTCGGCTGCCTGGGAGTTACTGGGCCACACAGGCTTTAATTCGCACGTGCCATCATCCAGGATCTGGGTGTTCGTGGCAAGGCAGGGGCCAGAACTAGTTTAACATCAGAGAAAAGATTCGGATCCCTTCCCAGCCTACGCAGAACCCTTTTCATTGCTCCATTTTTGTTAACTTCTGAAAATAAAACCACTGGTGATGGTTAAAACCGGCATGGATGCTCAGGAGGAGGCAGTGGAAGGAATGCTGATACAGGCTGGCTATGGGCATTTTGGCCACAGTACTGGTTTTGGTCTGTTGTTTGAGTGATGTATTATAAATGCTGATATTTTCACCAGTGTTTTCTCACAGGGGTGAGAGTAGGAGGGAGAAATGCTTACGTGAATACAGTTTGTTTCATCAGCTTTATGGGACTTTTAAATGTCACCTGTTTTTCAGTTATGATTTTTCTGAGGCTTTCTAACTAGGGTTAACAAGAAACCAAGCCCTTGCTTTCCTTTTAAAGTCAGTTTTAGTGAAAATAAGCTTAGAGCTGCACCATCTTTCTCTTTTTAGGTAGCTTTCTAGGATGCAGAGGGAAGACTAGCAGGCTCTGTTACGTATCTTCTTTGACATCAGTTTGATGTCATATGCAGTTGTTAGTTTGGGTGGAGGATTTCTGAAATTAAGAGAAATCTGGTAGCTTTGCAGTCCGTCAGGTAGGACAGATCACCATAAAATCATAATAAGCACATGCTGTAACTCTTTCTCATTTTTTCTTCTGCTTCTAGATCCTAGGTTATTTTACCTAAGTTAAGTGATGGAAACATAACACTAAAGAAAAAAAAATCACCTTTGTGTCTTTGGCATTCATATTTGTGTGAATCTAGGATGTTCCAAGAAAACACATCAGCCAATTGCTTAAGTATAATAACAACATCTACTGAAGATGGTGCTTTCGAAAAAAAAGGCCATAGTGCAAGAATCCTTAGCGCAGAAGAGGCTGAGAGACTGACAAAAGATCGGGTTTTGGTGTCTGAGTTCAAACAACTAAAACTGGAGAAAGAGGCACAGAAGAACTGGGATCTATTTTACAAAAGAAACAGCACCAACTTCTTCAAAGACAGACATTGGACAACCAGAGAATTTCAAGAGTTAAAAGCATGTCGGGAGGTGAGATCTATGTACTTTCTCTGTAAAAGATGGGATTGATTGTTTCTAAATGATTTAATAATATTTCTAACAAAGCCACTAGGCTAAGAGCTGTCACATGCTAAATTTGCCGTGCCCTGTGTAGTCTCCCTTAATATCAGAGCCAGACGTATCAGTTTGGTTTCAGTTTATAATTGACCCATACTGGATACTGAGAATGAAATCTGGAATATTTGTTTTGTGTCCTACATAAACAACTTGTCTCTCTGTGACGTGTTGTTTTCAGATGCAAGTTGCTGCACTTCAGAACACTACTTTAATGAAAAGCATCCAGAAATACAGGCTAATTGCAAAATATCGTTAAGCGGAATAGCCAGATGCATCTGTTGTTCATTATAGCTGAATGAAAGACAAGACAGAAACAGTATAACAATCTGTTGATTACTTAAGGAGTAGATGACTGAAGAAATATTAACATGTTCTAAAAAGATCTGTAATTTTGCAGAAATCAAGATTTCTGTTTTGTAGTGTTAGATTATCCAACTCATACCTACTTCAGTTTTTGAATCAATGGTTATTAAAATTGATTATAGCTTTAAAAATGCTGTTTGAACAGTGTCTCTGCTCATATCATGAGGAAAACAAAAATGATGTGCTTTATCTTGGATTTCTTCCTCCCCAGTTTGCAGATCAGAAACTGACCATTCTGGAAGCAGGCTGTGGGGTTGGGAACTGCTTGTTTCCACTCTTAGAAGAAGATCTGAATATTTTTGCATATGCCTGTGATTTCTCTCCTAGAGCTGTTGAGTATGTGAAGGTTGGTGTGATATTTGGAACTTCTTTTAGAGTGTCTTTAGAAACTTCTGAAATTACAGATGACTGGAATGACAGACTTCTCTTGCCTTCCTTTTTGTAGGAAGGGTAGAATAGCTTTTGCAAAAAAATGGAGACTGACCCGTATCAGTGAAGCTCCTATGCAAGAAGCCAAACCACTGCTCGAGACCTAGTTTTTTCAGCGTCAAATTGTAGCATTATGGTAATATGTGTATATTGCTTTACTTGAATGGTTTGTGAAGACTCTTTAGAGTGCTACTGTGTCTCTGCTGACTGTGCAGTACAAGCAAAATTTGTTTGGAATGGAAGCTTGCCCTTGATATTTGTGAGGCAGATGGTGTCCTGAGGAGAATCTTGAAAACATGGCCATGAAAGTTATTGTTAAGGAAATTTGTAGCCTGATTACAAATAGCTGTGTTTGTACTTATTCATAGGTAAGTGGTAGTGCAGTCCAAAGTTAAGTCTTCCAGTAAGGCTGGTGGGGGCTTTGGGCTTTAGAAGTGTCCTTGTTTATTAAGTTATTAATCACAGGTAAATTTCTACATAGCAGTTATTTGAAAGCATTCTCTTGTGGGACGTTTGTGACTGAGAACCACAAGACACATACTGTGTGTATCTCATGGGAAAGATGGGAAGAAATACATGTGGCAAACAGGAGAGGACAGCAGCTCCCTGGGATGCCACAGCTGCCCTGCAAGATGAGGTTGGGCTGTGTACCCTGGGTTTTGGATGACTTAGTGGTGTCTGCCTCGACAACTCTTGCCGAGCGTCTTTCTTGCCAAGACCAGGTTTCCTTTTACCCAGCAAAACTGTGGGCAAAACAGCCCGGCTGCAGGTTATGTGATATGAACCCAAGCTGTTTACAGTCTACTTGTAGCTCAAGAGCTGTACTTTGATCACTTGATAATACAGAATTTATTTTAATAATATTTCTGTATTTTTAAAGAGTAGAAGCAGCGGTAAAGCAGAAATGGTATGTTTTCTGATCTGTCTTAACACACATTCCTTCTCAAATTCCTGAGAACAGACTAGTCTAGTAATTGTAGTTTCACTGTTGTAGTATGCAGCAAAGAATTTCTGATTGCATTAGTCACGGGTTGGAAGTTAATATTCTTTGCCACCATGTTTTGTGTCGCTCTACTGATTACTTTCACAAGTTTTTTGCTTTTTTTGCAATAACAAATGCAGCTAATTTTCAGTGAAAGCATGCTCTTTTCATTTCCCTAGAAAAATGCCTTATACAGTACTGAAAGATGTAAAGTGTTCCAGTGTGATCTTACCAAAGATGATCTTCTAGAAAATATACCAGCAGATTCTGTGGATGTTGTCACACTTATATTTGTGCTTTCTGCCATTCATCCTGACAAAATGCATTTTGTCTTGAAGAACATTTACAAGGTAAAACCGGCCGATTTTATAGCCTTTAAAGCACTTTCCTGCTTTTGAGCTTGAAAGTACAATTTTTTTTTTTCTGAGAAAATAACCCCTCTTGTAATGGTGATCTTTAATTCTGCGTTGCATGGGTGTATTTAGTTAGCTCACCTAGTATATGGGACTGAAATATGTTTTACAGTGGTTTTTTTACTCTCTTAGTATTGTGAGGTTGTTTGGATTCTGGCCTAATGCATACCATCAACGTAACAAAAAAGGTATTTTGAACCTGTGACTTGGGCTTCTGGGTTGTATGCTACAAATAATATTTATGGATTGCAGAAATGTCTGTGTTAATAAGGTGTGAGTGACAGTGAACCAAAATTGACTTCCAGAAGATACAGTGACTTGCAGTTAGGATGTTATTGTTGTTATTAAACACACTTGATCTGTGGTGATTTAGAAGTGGGGTGTTCAGACATCAACATTAATCTAGAGAGACTCATCTCCCTGGGCTGCCTTTGGTAGTTGATAGGCTAGGATAGGACCATCCAGAGAGTGCTTTAAACAATCTGAATTGTAATTGTTCTGAATTTCCCTGAGGTGTCATATATTGACTGCAGAGGGAAGTAACGTATTTTTTATTTATGTGTATGTGTGTATTTGGGGTTTTATATTGTCAGATATCCTGTTTGGTTTATCATCAGTAGTTTGAAAAGGGAATGTTAGATTTTTGGTATATCTCCAGATGTTTTTCAAAGTCAGGGCTGATTCTTAGCTCACGCACGTGAAAAGGTAATTATTGTTTTCTCTGTGGAGATGCCTGGCTCATTTAACTTGCTTTTAGGTTTCTGCACGAATTTGCAAGTGGCAAGTACTCCTTTTTTCCTCTAACAGATACAGCTGGTATTGATGAGGTAGGAAAGTTGGATGCATCAAATGTCTAAAGTCAGCATGACTAATGACCATGTATTTCTAAATTTTAAACTCTTTATTGCTTGATTTCTTTACCAAAGAGCAATTAAAAAAAAAAAAAAAACAACACCAAACCAAACCTGCAACCTGTTTTCCTGAAATTGTTCCTTTTTAATTTCTTATTATATTGTAATATTTTTTCTTTCTCACATGAAAAAAGAAATGTCATGGTAGTCTAAATTGTATTGTTAATCATTAATCAAAATCAGGTGCTAGACTGTATACTACCCAACAAAGAAACTGCCATGTTAGGACTTAATTTTCATTGTTAAACTGTATATTTTCTTCTTTGTTCTGTATTTGAATTGTTGCAAAAAGCTTATTTAGCTGACCAACACCCAAACAGGTATCTTAAAACTTTTGGTAGTTTTCATGTTCGTGGGGAAGCATTTTTAAGAGCGGACAATCCAGTTGTATATACAACTTTTTTGTTGAACAGGGAATGAATTCTATATGTATGTATATCACTTCTGTATTGAATGTGTTAGGATACCTTGTCTTAGTTATGTGTGTATGAGTCTGTACGTGTATACAAATAAATATATATGGCTAAATCCATCTACCTTATTGAAGCATATATGTATTATGTGACAGGTATTAAAACCCGGCAAGTGTGTCTTGTTTAGAGACTATGGACTGTATGATCATGCAATGCTCAGGTTTAAATCTGGCAGCAAACTTGGAGAAAACTTTTATGTTAGACAAGATGGGACAAGATCGTATTTTTTTACTGAAGGTAAGACATACTGTAGAGTGTTTTCTTTTCTGTGAATCTTTTGTTTAAACTTGCTTCAGGGAATTGCCAGCATGCCCATTGTTTTACACATGAACTGTTAAATCGCTGTGTACTTCATTTGCCACCCTTTTTGGGAGGAAGAGGGTATTTAGACTAGCAGGACTTTTTGGAGCACTTTCTTATTTACAAGCTTCTTGTATGTGCTATAATGTGCCAAGAGCAGCAGTTTCTGAATTTGCTGAATTTCATTCAGGTTTGTTATCTAAGGGAAAAAGACCAATGTTCAATAACAGAATTGATCATCTTCATGAAACAGCTAAGCAGTTATCTTGGCATCGTTCTTTTCACAAAGCTATTCCTGGTGTGCAAGATGAGGTCTACTGAAGAAGTCAATGACTTCTGAAGCAGAACCATGACTACAGTGCTGAGAAGCTTGTCTACAAACCCTGCTGAGATAGCACCAACAAGCCGTGATCACTGTCTTCTGTGTTTTAGTAAAGATGATGCAAAAACCATTTCCGTGTGATACAGTATTTGAACAGTTTTTCATTCAGTGCTCGTAATGCTTTAGGAAGGAAGGTAATTAGTGCAGTTTACTGGTGGACAGTTTGAAGCACAGAGATGTGAAGGAATTTGCTTAGACTCTCACAATGACTTGGGATTGTAGCTCGTCCTCTAACTCCCAATTCCTCATGCTAAACTTTAGTGAGCTGTTACTTCCCCCTATCAAGCATAGGGCATTGTGTAATAACAGTTGTGTGTTTATTTCTGTTGGGCTCTTTGTTCTTATTCTAAGGCAAAATACAGCCACTGAAGAGACTGATTTGGAGCCAAGTAGATGTTATTCATATTTTATGACATAATGTATTGCCTAATTGCTTCTGATATATAAAAACTATTAATCTTGTCTGAACTCTCTCTATCCTTTATAGGACAACAATGAAATCTAAGATAATGCGGGCTGTGCTATGGCTTCCTGGAAGCATTTCTAAAGCTGTTATTTATTAAGTGATTTTTAGTTCTGTTTAAACAATTAGCCCCTACAAAGAGAATGGATGCTAAAGGAAACAAATAAGAGACTGACCTAGCTGTGGAATTTTAAACCCCATTTTTCTTGCTTGTTAGAATTGTTTCTGAATGAGAAATTCCTTGCTAGTATGCATGTTTGCTTTGGGGGAAGAACTAAGATAGGTAGGAGGAAGAGGAACGAAGGAAAAAAGAAAATTTATCTTAATATTGCTCGTGTTAGCAATTGTTTTGCCTTGGAGTGGTCTGTGACTGTCTCATGGACCACCTCTGCTCCCATTCTTGATCATTATGATATCATTCATCTCACTGATTTTGATATAAATATTGTTTAATGCCTGAGAATTCTTTTGTTACTAGAAACGTGCCTCCCATCATTTCTGCACAGTTTGCAGCCTGTACTATTTTTCATTTGTTTAACACTACACTGGTACACCAAGTAATTGCTGCATGGGATGATTTGAATGATGCTTATTTATAATATATCTAGCCTCAGATAACAACACTGAGCTTCTTCCATGGAAAAAAATATTAATTTATCCACTGTTTGAAATAATACTAAATTTGTGGAGCAATGCATGGTTGTAATTTTCTGTTATTATAAAATATGTAGAACTTCCTCACACCGAGATTTCAGTAGCTCCACAGTTAAGTGCTGTTTATTTATATTACAATGACGGGGGTCCCCCATTTTACATGAACACACCATGTTTACAACCAGTGCATGTGGCTTCATGATGGGCTTCGGTTGATATAAGCCTGCATTACCACCAAAGTGGGTGGTCTCATTTTTCTTCCTCCATCCCACCTCTTTTAGTGCTGGGGTTCCTGTACCCACATGATCAGCCGTTCCATCAAGCTGATCCCTCTGAGCATTGAGAAAAGGGCATGTCTCTGCTTTCTGTCAAGTACCATGAGTTTAGAATGGCTTAAATTTATTGTGAAATTACCATGTGAGTAAATGAAACAAAGTGCAGGAAAGGAAAAGTGGGAATTTTAATGAACGTGACAAGTCAATAGCATGAGCACCCTTCTCTGCTGCATAGATCACCCTGTTTATGAGGTAATTCTGCCTTGGTATGCTTTGAGTAAGATTATTTTGTTTATGGAAAATACTTTCAGTTTGACTTCGTGAAGGCTTGGTACCACCATATCCACTTTGCCATTTTGTCCATTTTTCTGTTGAGCAATGGCATGTGAATGTCTGGTAACATAGGGTGGTATTCTTCCACAAGCAGAGGTGCTTCTACAAGGCTGGATTACCTTTGAAATACTTGAAATAAGTGATATATTCAGCCAGCGAATGTCAGTTGCACAAAGTGAAAGTGCACTGGTGTCAGTCACAAGGAGAATGACAAGGCTCAATAAAAATAAGAGATGTGGCAAGTTTTGGAAACTAAACTGAGTAACTAGCTTAAGCCCCAGTTTTGCAAGCTCTTTTGCTTAGGTTGATGTTTCCAGAGGAGATTTGTATTGATTTTTATTCAGCAGTCCGCCTGCATAGAACAGCTTGAAATCTGAAGGCCTGTGCGATTTTCATGCTGTAACACATAAGAGCATATGCTTATATAAATGCTGACTAGTGTTTTAAAAATAGCTTAAACATAATATTTAATCTTATTTTTTCTAAATTCTTTTCCAGAGTTCTTGTCTCAGCTTTTCAAGGCTGAGGGATATGAGCAAGTGGTCAATGAATATGTGCAGCGAGAAACTGTGAATAGAAAAGAAGACTTACGTGTTCCAAGAGTTTTTCTTCAAAGCAAATTTCAAAAGCCTTTCAGTAAGACATAAGTTCTTGCTGATTAGCAACAGCATTACTTGTTTGAAATGGAAGCTAGCACGTAGTTTTTCCTTCTATGTATCTTTCTGGTAAACCAGAAATGACTGCATCCAGTACTTCTTGTTGATTTTCAGTGAAATATGAATGCTATTTCTAATTCAAATTTAAGACAGTTTAGTGATGCAGGCAACCTGTTGAATATCTGTATTCCTGCTTCTAAAGTAAATCATGTGCAGCATTGTTGGAGGATCAGGGTAAAGCACACTAAACATAGTTAATTTCAAGCACTAGTTTTCATTAGTTGCTATCATAATTGTTATTTCCAGTTTTATTAAAAACTGTTTTTTAAATAAGTCTCCTGTGTTTCTTATCACTTACATTTTTTGTGGCCTGTTAAAGTTACAGTATTTCAACTGCTTTCAGTACTCCTAGGACTTGTGAGTATAATTTTTCAGATACAGGAATGAAACAGACTCAATGAGTGGTATAATGTAAGCTACTTTGGTATTTTAATAATGGTTGTCTTTTTAATGTGCTCAGCATTTAGGTATGTAAACATGTTTATATTCTAAATAAGATCCTAATTTATCTGATTTCATGCTTGAAGAAAGTAGTTAGAGGATCAGGTTGTCTTTATCCCTCATTAATTTCAGGCGTTCTTTGATGAGGTTTTGCAAGTCAGTTTCCTATTTGGAACTGAAATCAGTCACAAGTACTTTCATTTATATCAAGTGTAGTCAGCTGCTTCTTTCCTTAGCAGAGGAATAATTCTCTTCCAACACTCTCAGGAAAGTTGTTGGTCTTTGCTGTTCCTATTACCAAAAGCCACTGTATTAATGCTACAGCTCATAGCAAGCCACAGACTTGACTGCTTGAAGGAACTTTGTCCTTTCCCTTCAATAGCCCTGGCACTTTGCACTGCAGAACCTCTTCTTTGTTCTTGGATGATATAATCTCAAAAACATGTCTGGATCTTTAACCTGCATTTTGAACAGTTGCTCTGCAGCAGAGGAAGCTCAGAAGTATTCGATGACTTGTGCAATGGGCTGTGCTGATCTTGTGTAATGTACACAAGCTGCAACAAGGGAAATTCCAATGAATAACTAGGATTTTTTTGGTTTTTGTATGTAAGGGGAGGTCAGATGCTGAGACAGGGTCCAGAGAAGTTGTGGAACCTCCATCCTTGGAAATACTTGGAAATGGACTGGGCAAGACCTTGAGCAACCTGTGGCTTTATTTGAGGGTGGCCCTATTCTGAGTAGGAATTTCATTGCTTGCAGTATATATTAGTAAGTGATTGATTGACTCAGGCTGTCATTCCACTGGGCTTGTGTGTTGCTTGATGACCCAGTCATATACATCTGATGTGGACCAGAGGTGAGTATTTGCCTCTGTTTATGACAAACTAGCCATAAGATGTGATTATGGTTTTTTTTTTTTCAGCACTTTTGACATTGGCTGTGTGTGCACGGAGGGAAAGAAGTAATAACTTTTCCAGCATAAAGCCTAATGTTACAAAGTTAACCAGTCAGAATTTTTTGAGCAAATTGGAGCTGCCAGAGGTCTTATTTAGTTGATACGTTTATAAATAAATTTGCAGCACATCATTGCTTTGTGTCAGGGTACCACAGCTTTTTTTGGTCTGATACCATGAGCACCAAAGCTGGATTTATTGTGTCATCAAACATTGGCCTCAGAGGAAAAAGAGATTAAACCACACAATTCTCCTCTGAGGAGGGTTATTACATGACATCTCCTTTTTTTGTGGAGGATATCATCCTGGGGATTTATACATTGCTGACCCCTGCTGCGCAACCCATTAGCACTTTCTGCCATAGTAGTGATAAATATCTAGTAACATTTATAGTAAATGAAAAAATATGTTAAAAAGGGTATAACAGTGATAGCGTTATAATCTGCACAGTCATCATTTTGTGGCTTCCCTCAGCAAATGTTCATCTTTAGTACAGCAGTTCAGCGATGACTGTGTGTAGTCTGAGCTCTGTTGATTTTTAGTGGGGTTTGAACCCTGTAACACCAAGTGCCTTACAAGACTGAATGTTAGCTCCTTTCAGAGTATACAGCACATAAATGAGACTGAAGGATTGCCTTGCGTGGCTCTTTGTCACTTTGGCATGTGATTGTCACATGCATAGGCAAAGGCAAGTGCACTGAAGTGGGCATCCCAGAAAGGAAATGAAATGTAGGCAAGTATTAAAAATATTAATCAGAAGGTTTGAGTCAACCCAACAGACTTAGCTGCAGGCAGCCATTGACTTCTTTTTTACACTGAACTAGCTATTGCCTGAACAGTAATACACCTTTTTGTGGCTTGAGGTTTCTGCTTGAGGAGCTACTGTCTCTTTGTGTAGCAACACATTAAATGGAGAGTAGTAGTTCTAATTTTTTTGTTTCTCATTCGGTCTCATTTCCAGTCAGACCTGGAAAATAAAGTACCATGCATTAGTGCCCCTGCCAGAAAGACCTTCAGCTATAGTTGTCATAAAGCAGAGATTACTTTGAGATGAATGGTCAGAAAGCTTTATTTGGCCTTTCTGCCTTTGCTTCTGTGAACTCTAAATCATTGCAAGTTTTTGTGACTGTGGTAGAGTTTGAGGAAGTTGAGTCAACTTTAAGAACCCCTGGCCTCATCATGAGAGAGGCAATAACTGATGGGATGCATGTGGCTGTTATAGTGCTGAGTAAAGTGGATATACTTCCCCCCCCCAAAAACCCCCCCCCCCCCCCAACCTTTCAGCCTTTCCAAGCTCATGTAAGCTCACCAGAGGCAGCATGTGCCAAGGATACTTGTACCTAGTTTCCTTACTTGAAGAACTGTCCTTAGGGAGATGTGGTAACCAGAGTAAATAGTGTCAAAAAGACTTGGAGAAAATATACATGCACTGAATCGTGCTCACATTGCAGAAATAAGCTACTATGCCATGATTGTAATAAGTGTCTTGATTGTTCTTGATTTAAGTTGTCTTCAGTCGATGGGGGCTGCTGAGACTGACTCAATTGTCTGTAGAAAACCTTCCTTTTGTTTCCCTTACTCTGGGCTAGCTGCTGTATCTGGCAAGCATCACTAGTAAGTTACGTCATGCCATCACCTTGTTCTGAGCAATATTTAGAATAGAAGCAAATTATTATTGAATTAGTAGGACTAAGAAAACCCAATTTATATATATGTATATTTTTAATGGTTTGGTGCACTATGATTACCTTTTCTGATGTTTAATATAGTACTAATGCTGGTTAAAGCTTTTCCTGTGATTAGGGAATCCTAAATGTCACTTTCTAGTGTGAGATTCTCTGATGTGTCCTACTGGAATTAGACAGCTCATATTAAGGGATCATGTTAATGGGGCAGTGCATCAGTGAGGATATTAGTAAGGTCTGTTTGTAGGCTATTTTCATAAAATTTACAGAAATACCATGTTTCTGAGTCTTTTGACATTTCGTGTCCTTTATTGTTCTGTCACATTTGGTTTATATTGTCCAATGTGTTGACAACAGGCTAAGACTAGACAGAAATCCACACATGTATTTTGCATATACTGTATGCATGTGTAAGCTTTCTTTCCGTAGGAATATGTGCTACTGAGAAAAATCCATTTGAATTTTGAAGTATGATATCACAGCAGGTTTTGTGTCGTTCATTGGATAGCTAAAAGGCTATTTCTGTGCATATTTCAGGTATCTGAAGGTTCCTTGGGTTCCAAAGGCATAATATTTAAGCACCTAATACAACACTATTCCCATGGTTGATTGTGCATCATTTCTATGAAACAAAGTGCTATAAAAGTGGGACCTGAAATTCTAGCATTTATAAGCATCAACAGCCAACTGTAAAACATACGGTCTTTGTCTCATAGGAGGAAACTTGTATATAAAATCTGAAAGGTCATTTACAGGCTTAACTGATGTTCTTTTTTTTTTTTTTCTTGATTTGTTGTATAGTTTATGCATCTGAATATATTGTAAGATACAAATTACCAGTTAGGAGGTATTTTACTGGAAGTGTTATTTGAAAGATGTATGTATATTTGGAGAGGATATCAAGTGTTGAGCATCAGTATGTGAAGGAAAGAAGGTAAGACTATGTTTAAGCTTCTGGGGGGAAAAAAAGAGTTTGCTGAGTTTCACAGGCCAGGGATGACATGCAATTAAATGAGTTGTTCATGTAAAATGTGAAATTTTGGGAATGAAAGCCTGTAGCTTCCAAAACTAGACTAATGTTACCAGGCAGGCAGAAGGGTGACATCTAAGTGTGTTATATTAGTAATGCATGCAAGATGATCTGGGAAGCAGAATTTTATATTGGAAAGATAGTATGAAGATACAGTTAATGAAAATAGGTAAGTCTTTGTTTATGGATTTTTACCTCCCATAGTGTAGCTATGATGAATTTTTCACTAGTTATGCTTGCTATTATTAGGAAAGATTGTGAGCCATTTTAAACATTCGGAGCAAACATTTACTAGCTATACATTCTGCAAAAACATCTGGCCCTTGGGTGCAGTAGGTTCAGGATATGAGTATGTGTGCACTCTGTATTTGTAATGTGAGTTCATTTATTAGAACAAAGGCAGATGGTGAGCCTGTACTGTGGGGAGGCTCACAGAGGCATTGCTTGCAAAGATAAAAGCTATTAGCCAGGTAAGATGTTCCATTAGAGAATGTTTTTCACTCCTACTTCCCAGGCTGATGTGCACCATTCATTGTGTTTGCAGTGGTGAGAAAATACTGCTGCTGTGAAATTGGGGAAGACAAGGGCACAAGGAAAAGAGTGTGTGATTTGTTTGGTTTGGTTTTGGTTTTTTTTTTTTTTTTTTTTTTTTTTTTCCAAATGACTAATGATTTGGTGTACCTCTACTTAAATGATTGTGGATTGGGAACATGTACCCCCATTTTCCAGGAAATCTTACATCTCATCCTTGGAAAACTGAGTTGCTTTTAAAGGTCTTTGCCAAAGATATTGGTGTAACCAATGCATGCTTGTAGAATATGTGAAGTGAGAGATGTGGAAAGGCAGCTGTCTGACTGAAAACATAAATCCAGGGGGTTTTTTTCTCCCTTGACTTGTAAGAAGCTTTATACTTCACTGTCACTTCAGTGTTTTTTCAGAATTCCCTCTCTGGGGTGTCTGTGCTGTCTTATCCTTGTTTAAGCTGGATGTGCCCTATCAACTCCAGCTCAGGTTTCCAATGCCTGTAGTATCCAGGGAATAATTGAGGGTAGTTGTAGGGAAGAGTCGGAGAGTAGACAAGTCACAGCCTGCCTACTGTCTAGGCTCTACTCAGTATTTTTCTGCAGTCAACTTCTCTGGACCCTTGGATTTCTACTTGAATATCTTTATGCATATGGGATTGTTGTGCATCTGAAATCTAAGGATTTTGATGTGCTTTTTTTTTGTTGGCTTTTTTTCCCAATTTTGGCTTCAAGCTTTTGTGTGAAATATGACATGTAATTGGAATTTTTATCATGTAATAGAAGCCTTTTTCTTTTAAATGTAACAGATCTGTTGCTGTGACTCCAGAGTATTCAAAAGCAGGATGGAATGGGATGGGGGGTAGGAAAGGAGAGTTGTTTTCTGCACAAATATTAGTAACGCAAATTTCGTAGGAACATACAAATACGTTGAAGAAACCACAAAAACATTACCACCATTTTTTTCTGAATCACCTTCAGAAAGTTCTGAAACCTGAAATCCCGTACAACTTCTTAGACTTAGCAGTGACCAGCTGGCTGAAGTACCTAAACACACATTTCATATTCTGCATTCGAGGATGCTCTGTAATGTCTTTTAGAACCTGGCCCCAGGGAATATCATGTTTGTCACCTCTTGTCTGGATGAATGTGAATCACTTATTGGAAGTTCTAGACTCTCCACCTGATATAGTAGCGTACCCTCTGCCCCACAGTGTATGCCACCACCGTCAGTCTTTTGTTGGCTTTGGATGAGCTTCCAGTAACAGTTTCAGGCTTTGACTTTGAAAGCAGCTTATAAATTAAGGATTAGCAACTGCCTGTATATTCTTGATCTGTACTCGACTGGGACATGATGGCCAAGAGAAAGCCAGTTAGAAATAAGAATAAAACTGAGAAGAGTGAAGAATCCACTTTGAAGTAAACGGAAACAATCAAGCTGATACACAGCCAGAATGTATTTTAGAAATACTGAAAAATCTTCCTCTTACAAACATACGTTCTTCTATACAAAATATTAGCCTACTCTTTTACTCAAGGGACCTTTTCCAAGCCACTAAATAAAGGCTTTAAAAAAAAAAAGTGCATAGCTGAACCTTAAAGGAAAACACCAAACAGACTCTACAACATGAGCCACATCTGTTTCTTAAAATAGGGCAATGTTGTTCTCAAAAGCCCACGGAAGGCAGGGTAAGCTTGTCAGCTGCTATTGCTACTGAGAGCTTTTACCTTGATTCCATAATGCACAGTTTATACTTCATTCATACAAACTTCTTATGGGGGCTCTTTGTCTGATTTGGTCACCAATAGTAGATCAGTGAGATAGAATGATTTTATAGTTATAACAGATCTTAAGATGTATTGGTACTTCTGTAAATGAAAGGCTTGTTGTGAATGACTGATGAATTGAAAGAGCAGGACTGCTTTGTCAATGCTAGCAGCAGCATGGTTTGTTCATGTGCCAGGCCAGGCTACTGTTTGGCAGGAAATGCAATGTCAGGCAGCATTTTGTACTGTAATAAAAATCCAAAGATTAATATCCTTAAAAAAAAAAAAGGCAGCTTTCAGAAATTTAGAGAGAGGCGTGAGAATGTGCCTGGGATGATCAAAAAGCCTGCAAGTAAAACTGTAGCTGCAGTGGCATTATTTGTTTTTAAATACCAAACAAAAAAAGCTGCACATGGGCAATGCCAGACTTTGCTCCCAGGACGCTCAAGTGGTTTTACAGCACAGGTAGCAGTAGTAAAACTGTCTGTTACTGTGATGGTATATTTTTGTTTCATGTACTCTTGTAGAGAGTTGGAAATATGTTACTGCTGACTACAGTCATAAATATGAGTAAAACATGAGTCATAAATATGAGTAAAGTATGTGAGATTTGCTTTTGTGGCTTGATTTGACATTTCCTGGAACCTTTAACATCGTATATCCTTACTTTAGCTAAGTTTTTACTGCTATTGATTTTTATGGTGAATGTGTTGAATATTACAGGATGTGGAAAGAAATATAAAGTGCTGAAATGGTAGATTGTACAGGACTACAGGAGAGTCTCTGAAACCAGGGTGAATGGAGCCCAAATGTTAAGTTTAAGATATGGCATCTTCCGAAGAGGATTCTTTTGAACAAATCCCTTTAAAAATGTTCACTACATGCTTGCTGTGGCAGTATCTGAGACCCAGGAACGGCACAGCATTGTTATGGGTGCTGTAGATGCAGAGAGTAAGAGGCAATCCCTGTCCTAAAAATTCTAACCATTCAATTATGCAAGAAGGGTAAGAAGAGGAAGAAAGGGCATTGTCCCGTTTGTCACAAGACAGAGATTAATATTTTCCCTACCTCAAACTGAAATTACTGTGAAAATGGGACTGAAGAATTTCTTTCCTATGTCTTGGTTCAGTACCTAAGTAACAAGTCATCTTGCTGCAGAACAGATCCTCTGTTAATGAGAGATACTAGCTCTGATGAAGAAAAACATGGTTCCTGCATGCCTTTTCATTGCAATTTGAAGGACAAGTATACCGTTCCCAACCCTGCTGTTGGTTTCCTGTGTGTTTCTAAGCCTTGCCTCTCACTTTCTGCCTGATAGGGAGGAGAGAATGAGCTTGAAAGGAAAAAAGAGGTACATAGGAAACCAGTGGCTGCTTTCAGTGGGAGTTTTAAGTCTCCCTATCTTTTTCTCCTGCTGCAACCTTCAAGTTTTTCAAAGTCCAGCAGATGAAGAGGTAACCACTATGCGTCCTTGAAAAGGAAATGATTGGGTAAAAGGGCAACACTGGAAAGTATTTTCCCAGATTGGAAATGGACATGGTAAAAGGCTACTGCTTCTTCTATCAAAGTCAATGGGAAAACTTCATCTGACTTCCTTAAGAGCTGTTGCAACTCCTAGATGGCAAAAGGAAACACACTTTAGGATGGGAGATCTAATGCATCCCTCCCCTTGCTGACCCTTGATGTTGGGAAAAGAGGATCTGCTGATACAGTCAATCCTGATCATAAAAGCTGATGAAGTAGGCATTCAAAATCCATGAGATTGAGGGGTGGGGAGAGAAGAAGATGTAAAGTGTCTTGATGAGGTATGTAAAGTAAATATTTTTGGTTTAAGCAGAAGTGTTTTGGTTGCAATTGCATGGTGCCAGGACCAGACACTATAATAAAAATGTTATGTTACATGAAGTGGCCGTGCTGCTCTTTGCCTGATCTCTCCTGTCTTTTGCTGCCTTTCGTGTCATCTCTCCTGTCTTTCCAGTTTGTTCCTGGTCAGAACACAGCAAATCCAACCATCAGGGAGTCTGTAGGAAGGTTGAAGAGTTGGTGATCCCTGTGTTTGGCAGCCTCCTGGATTTATAGCATAAATCCCTTTATATTTGATAATTTTAGTGCAACCTTTCCTTCCGCTGCTGTTTGAACCCTGGATGCAGAAGAAACATAGGTTTTGAAAAAGAAACTGACCTTAAAAAGGAAGGAAGTTTGTCTGTCAGTGTTGGTTAGCAAAGTCTGTGGCTGACGTGATGTCTATTTCTTGAGTAAGGGTAATATTAGACATTGTTTGCAATGCAGTGAAAAAGGAAGGAATAGCTTCTGTTGCTGTCAGCTGTACTGTAAAATGACTTTCTTCTCTCTTGACTGTTTCTACTTTGTCAAGCTCTTATCTGGCCTGGTTGGAGGCTTAGTCTCGTGTTTTATGCCTAAATGTGGAGCTTTTACCGTGAAGTTACTTATTTGTGCAAAAGTTGGAATTTTTTTTTTCTCTACCCTGATGCATAGGTACAGTTTGACTAAAAAGGGTGAAGAAAGGGTGTTTGGGATTTCATGCACAAGATGGCAC